GGGAGGTACACATCCGTACCATAACTACAAACGCAAGTTAGTACATGTTACAGAGTCGGACGCGGAATTTAGACAAAGTGTCGTTTACCCCTCCATGCTTATCAGCTTCAAGTCACCGCCGAAATACCGTGCGTAAAGCCGACTGATTGGAAGTCCATAACCAAACCCAGCCATTGGAGCCTTGAAATCGCTTTTGTTGAAATCCGGGTCCAGATTAGGAGTCTGATCCACAGTGGTATACATGTACGTCCAAACAAGCGGAATGGATGACCTTGGAATCCCGCCTCCTTCATCCGATATTTTGATCGTTATGTCCTCGCGACCTTCCGCAACGATAACTTTGATCTCTGGGAATACATCACTCTCCGGGCCATGGGTTTCCACAACGGCACGTAACGAGTTTTTCAACGTTTCGAAGAGCATATGCGACAAATGGCCTGGGACATACATGAAATTCAGATCATCTTTGCAAACAAGACGAACTTTGGGGGCATCGAATAACCCGTAATGATCCTCACAAACAAACCGTGCATTCTCAATAGCTTCTTGGGCGAGTTCCCTAACGTTAGTCTTGGTGCAGATGATTCCAACGTAGTTTGGGTGGTATTCGTGCGTCTGTTGTGTGAGGGCAATGTGTTGGCCGATAAGCATTCGAATACCGATGCGAGACATGTAGAATCGATCAAGGAATGATTGTATATCCGAATCAATCTGCATTCGCTGCCTTTTTCGTTTCCATTCTAGGATGCCCTGCGCCACAGTTGTGACCACACTATCGTGCCTTCTCTTGATGTGATGCAAGGTCGACGCGAAGCGATTGTTGTAATCCCGGAGTTCGGGTGGCCACTCGCCCCCGTCGTCTGCAGCAACAAAATATCTTCGGTTCCCGCTGACTCTATGTTTTGAATGCCCGTTCCCATTCCCGCTTCCATTGCCATTGCCGTTAATGCAATAGTCTTTTGTCTGTGGAAGGATGGACGTTGTGGAGGAGCGATACCGGCCGTCTTTTATACTAGGGTTTTGTGTCGCCTCCTCCAGCACCTTCGGCTCACGGCCAGGCTGGCGACTGGGCCGCAGGAGACGGGATCTGACTTCTTGCGAGAGTGTTGGCCGGGGGAGGCTTATGATTTCCTGATTCGGAAGCGGTGAGTCAGATGGGAAGTGGACGGCAAGAGCAGAGTCAGCGGCCATACCTCAAAAGACTGCGCATACCAGTCTTGCACCTTTTTGATTGAAGGCACGTCGTTCAGTCCATCTGGCAGATCACCCAGCTCCTGTACCCTGTGTGCTAACCGAATGGGAAGTTCTTCGGACAGAAACTGGGATGCGCGGAAGAGCGTGCCTGTGATTTTCCATAGGACAAGGTTAAGCACTGCCTGGGCTCCGGTAGGTTGACAGAAGCAATAGTACACACCTGTATCTAACATACCTGTTGATGGTCTGTGCCCGAACTGAACCATCTGCCGCAGAGAGACTCCTGTCGCTGGAAACGAAGCATAGTGACCGATGGTGTCCATCAGTCGTTCTGACGCCTTCCACATGGCTACTAGATTCTGGCCCCGCGGCCTGGGGGGGGATCAATGCAGGAGTCTGCACGTAGCCCTCAACCCAAAATCACACAATGCGGACAGGTGTGAAAGCAGTCGACTAGTAGGAGGGCGGTGAATCATACGTGATCAATACTCTGACTCTTCATATGATAATTGTTAGCTACCAAAGATCGGACAGAAACGGAGGACTGGCAGGTCTCCACCAACTGGCACGGGGGATCTAGGATGCCGAGGTAGACTTCGCGCAGAGACCTCATCTGAGTGGGCGAGAGTATTACCTAAAAGTCGGGTGGACGGCGAGTTGGCGTAGATCCGGCCAATCTCAACATCGGCAACGAGGCGTTGCTCGCTGAGGGCAATTGATGGTGAAGATGGCAGACGGCGAGGAATTGAGAGAGGGGGACAAGGGTATGAACGGCATTGCTCCAGTTCTCGGTCCCAGGTGGCATCGAAAGCATGGATGCCAGCAAGCAAAAGGAATGTGCGAGCCAGGCACTCACGTGAAGATCTTCAGCAACCTTAACCCACCTGCAGGGTACCAAAAAGTACCTCCAGGCACAGCAAACAGGCTATATGGGCTGAGGTACTGCTGTGTACCTCCCTGTTTCTCCCATGTCACCGCAGATTCTATCAGTCACGAGACAGTTCCTGCAACAAATTGTTCACAAAGAGTTTGAATTTCATCGAGACCAGACGGACAATGAGTCTCCGTCAAAGCAAGGACCCTTGCTCGTTTCCAAGGACAAAATACATTGTTCATTGTTCTACATCATCCGCAAGCAGACACCGAGTTCCTCTTTAGTCAAGTGCCCATCATGCCCATGTCGAGCCCATAATTCCCAGTTGTATTTCGCAACCGATATTACCTCTAAATATGGCCCAGATATCCGTTGGGGCCTTTCCATTCCCCGACTCCCGTTGCGCTAATATTTATCAGCCGACGATCGGGGGGGGATCCGGATACTGAATTACCTTGCTCCAATCGAAGGCCTCCAGCAACCGCGAGATTCTATTTGGGTAGGAATAGTGAACACACTGTCCACGGCCTACAGGTACCCTCTTCAAAGTAACCTCAAGATAAAGAAAGCGATGCCAAATAATTACATATATGCTGCTACCCGTTGCGTGCTAAAGGCGATGTTAAGGACGATGTTTGGGGTGATATTATTTTGCGTGACTACTTTAACATGATGGATGCCATGAATCTACGGAGTATTTAAGCTTGCTATGTAGCCACCATTAATAAGTGGCGTCAAGCATGCTGTTTCTAACTTCTAAGGGTGTTTAGGCTTTGCACTGTTGGTCTCTAATGATTCTCGCCAGAAGCTCGAAAGTGCGGAGAAAGCCCCATATCAAACTTGGAGGGAACCGCATCGACGCAAACATCGCGTTGTTGAACAATCTGATCAAAATTGAAGCTATCATACCAACAAGCTGCTTTGCATACTCTTTGGTCCTTATCTTAGGTTGATCTCAAGTGACGCATATGACCATCCATATGGTAACTAAACCGGCAAGACAGCCTAGCAGTGAAGGTAAATTATGGAATGGTGGTGTAATGTCTCGAGAATAATGATCGGTCTCGGGTTTGGCTCAGCAACTGGCCTTGCAGAATTCACGTGGCGGATTGATGTCAAAATGCCAGGGAGGTTAATTAACTAGCTGTTGGACTTTTCGCAATCAACAAATGATGCTCTGGGAGAAATGAAGCTTGATAGTGGTTGCTGAAGGAGCTTGGAAGCTTCACCAAATGTACCCCAATGCATCTCTGTCATTTGTTATTCGTCTCACTTGTTCCTGAGGCAGTTCCAAAGGATTTCTCGTGCCCATGCAAATATCGCGCAGGAATCAGACTGGTAGCCGGGATTGTAATTAGATATAAATAGCAGTTCGCCACCAAAACGTGCAAGATGACGGTTTTTGAATCAGGCCAAAAGAATCAAAGACACGATTGGCTTAATCTGCATAATTAATCCTATAATTCGACCAATAAGAACTGGGTTATTACCTAGTGGAGCGGGCCGGGATAAATTCATCCAATGGGAAATCAACAATGCTGCTGCTCAGGGCAGCCATTGGACGGCCATCTTTCGCAATAACATTCCGTGTTTCAATACCAAACGGCATCAACCTCAACGTCCTTGGAGCCTCAACACGGCAACTTCATCTTCACACTTTCACTTCATCTCTGTGCTATCTCGACATCGCCTTCACCCGCGAAAAGTGCTGGTGCTTCGCTAAGCACCCTCTGTGTGGAGCACCGCTTCAAAGTCATCTCACAAAGAAAATGAAAAGCTCCATCCCAGGCCTGACCGTCCTGCGCCATGGCGTGTTGTTCCCCAAGCTTGCTGGGGCCAAGACGGTCCGGCGCACTGCTCCATCCACTCTGGCCTCCATGGCGCGCTCTCCATTGGATCGTCCCCTCGTGTTTTCGTTTCCACCTCGCACCGAAACGCCATCGGAAAACAAATCACCTCGACCACAGTCAACAGATGAGAGCCTCGTCTCGCTGGCACAAGAGGTGCACGCCCCCTTTTCCCCAGCCGCAAGGCCGGGTTTCCCTTCTTCATTTTTTCCCTCCTCCCAACACGTGTGGGTGAGCGCTCGCGGTTTTCTCTGACCATCCATCAGAGAGCCCCTTCTTCCTAATTTCATCTCTGACCTTTCTCTTCCCGCCCTGTTGCCAAACTGTTGCCGTGCGTCTTTGCACTGGCCAAGTCCAAGCAAGATCCGCATCCGGGCATTTATTGATCAGAGGGCACCTTAACCGGATCTTGCCGCAACACCTCGGTGTCACAAACCTGCGTTCTTTCTTCTCGACCCCCGTCGCGAGTGGTGAGAAGAGATTGTAGCGTTCGTTGACCTGTCGGTCCCTTCACGTCCACACCATGCGTCAATTCTCGTGGACCGCGGCGTTGGCCGCCCTGTTCTCCTTGGGAAGTGTGGAAGGCTCTATGCCTGCGATTCCGATCCCTCAGGAAACCCCAATCGGGTTGATGGCTGCTGTTGGCATGTCTCCAAGACCAACAGACCCGCCAGGTGTACCGGCTGGCTTTCCTCGCGAGTTGGTGCCCCGGCAGCGGAGGTCTTCCTTACCCTTCCCACCTCCGGGGTATTACTGTGGTTTAGTTGATGGCGACACTGGTTCGTGATTTCGGCCCAGTCGGACTCGTCTGGCATTTATGACAGTCCTTGGACAATCGCTTACTGATGTTGTGTTTGTGCAGATAACTTGCTAACCTGTGTCAACGCTCGGGCAAATTGTGTTCATCAGGGCACCGCAATTGGGTGCTGCATCAGCAGCGAAATCTCCGAGTGCACTAACATCCCGTCCAGCTGTATCAACTATGGCGAGTCGTGCGACGATGCTTGCAAGAGGAACAGAAGGATTTTGAAATGTACCACGACCACCGAGCCATACTGTGGAACATACTTTTTTGGCGGTGGATCGCAACTATTTGGCTGTCGTTCGTATGCTTCGGTTACCTCTCAGGTACAGCAACTCCGCGATTACTACGCGTCAGCCTTGGGGTCCGACTTCACAACACTGCCAGCAGCGTCAAACATTCTACCTTCCGCCAACCCCAATGGCCCTCCGAGTCCCAACACATCCGAGGACCCCATGCCCACCTTTCCTGGATTTCCCGAATCGTCTACCAATCCCAATTCGCCTGGCACAACCCCCTCGCCACCACCACCACAACAACCACCTTCTGGCGGTGACGGCGACGATGGTGATGACGGCGGCGACGGCGGGAACAAGAAAAGCAAGCTTTCAGGCGGCGCCATCGGCGGTATTGTTGTCGGTGCTTGTGCCGGCGTTGGAGCCCTTGCGGCGTTCCTTGTCTGGTTTTTCTGTGTGAAGAAGAAGCGTGATGAAAACAATGGCAATGCTGCCCCTGTCGCGCATCCTCCCGTTATGCATGGCCCCCCACCACCAGGACCCCACGACGCGTACGGCCACCAGCCAAACCCGGCCGCAGGCTACTATGCACCTGTACCACAAGACAACAAACCACTTGACGGCACTCAGCCTCCTTCATACGGCTACGACAAACCACCGCAGCCCAACATGGCTGAAATGCCTGCTCCAGGCGGCTTACAACCTCAGCCGCCTATGCAACCCCAGGGCCAGGCTGCTGATTATTATAACCAACGCACAAGCATGGGCCCACCAAGTCCACTCAGCGCGGGTGGAACGAGCCCCGGAAGTCCAAACGGGATGCATCCAACGCATACTGGCCCCGTGCCTGAACAGATTTATGAAATGGGCTCTGGGAGATAACATCCTAATTCCTGATGGGCGAATTGGAAAATAAAGACAAAAATTATATGCCGGGGCGAAATGAGTGGGATACGCGATATGCAACTTGCCCAAAACAGATATTAGCTTAATGTCTTATTGTTTCTTTTTGCATATAACATTGTTATCTTATATCCTGTGTTTATTTTCGACCTCATTTATCATCATTTCCTGCGAGCGCTATGAGTTTTATTATTTTTCACTTTTTCTTTACCCTCATTTCTCTGTTGTTTTAACACCTTTCCGGAAGACTCTACCCTTTATACCCCACCGGCGTGAAAGGATATCCTCTGGAATTCAGAATCCCCATCTCCGCCCGAGCTTGCATATATAACTCATCGGTGAACGCCTGTCATACAATGGTTATTAAATTATTATTCCTTTTCCAAGTCAAGCTACTCCATAGCTTCAGCGTAATATTAATCTTCCCAAGTTTTCCCGGTCCAAATGATATGCAAAGTGATCAGTGCGTTGGATACTAATGACAGCGCTAAAGCCCGGAATACTGTTGTTTCAAGCTTCGAACAAGAATGTAGACGCGGTTCCTGCATTTGGTCATGTCACTTGATATATGGAACGACCCTGCAAAGTTGGCAGAACACAGGCCTCGATGGAAAAAGACTCATTCTCGACCAACCGCAAACCTTTTCCGCAGTTGGTCTTTATACTCGATCTCCTCAGCCAACTTTTTCTCAATCAAAGCCGCAGCCCCTATACACCAGTATGGACTAACCGTCTGGTCGAACACACGCTGTGTACAGTGGTCTTCACAATAGCGGCGCTGGATATGCTCAATAAATACCCGCAGCATTCCTTTCGGACTGTGAACGGCCTGGAAATACCAAAAGCTCCCGCGGTCCCAGCATTTCCTCAGTATATCAGTTTGAAAAGCGTTCTCTGGGCCACTGATACTTGTTTCCTGTGCCTCAAAGGCGTTTATGAACTCGCCCATGACGCTGTCAAACGTCTGCAGGTGTTCTCCGTGTTCAATGTCGTCGATAGGTCGACCGGTTAAGCCAATACGGGGCAGTTTGCATTTCGATTGGAAAAGAGCATGCCCATTCCAAGTCAATTAGGGAAGTAATATGCCAATCGTCATCGACGAAAATATTGCTGGGGTGCAAGTCCGTCAATGTGAGGACAAACTGGCCATCACGATGCTCTCGAGATACAAACTGCGGAAGAAGTCCGCGCATCATTGTCAATGCCGCCAGTTGCTGTTCCCCGTCATTTGTGCTGTGGATTGCATTTGGCTGGCGGCGGATTCGGTTGTCATGGCACTGTAACATATCTAGAATATACGGTTCGATAGACCCGTAAGTGGAATGCCTGGGGATCGTGGGGATCCCTTCGTTCTCCATGGTTTGGAGGCGGAGGGTCAGAGGGCGGTTTGTTAGATGAATGAAACCATCGTCATTCAGTGTCAATGATCCGATACGTGGTAGAGCGGTGCGATTGATGGAAAGCATGATACGGGAAATGTCATGGAAGAGGATATTCCTTCGTTGCTTATCGCCAAGGTGTCCGAGAGCAGTCGACCATCCCCGATAAAGCTAGTAATCATGTAACCTGTAGTCAGAGAGCTCAGTGGCGGAAGGCGAATGTAGGGGCAGCTCTTGGGAAGCCCCAGTAAGGAGCGAATGGCTTGTGTGGTGTACCAGCAGAGACGGGTCAGAAGGGATACGGCGCGTGGTGCAGTGAACTGGGGTTATGTACGGGTTAGGACGCAAAAGTACTCTAACTATATGAAACAAGAAAAGAAGTAAATTCCTAAAAGACCGGAAATAACATACAGTTCGTCCATTGGGGAACGCAAACGCATGCAAAGAAGGAATAGGAACCGCAGGGCAGTGTTCAGCCATCCAGATGTATGTTGCCACCTCACAGCGAAGTTTCTCCTCGACATTTCCAGGATTGTGCGCTTCACCAATCTTGTACGGCAGGGGGATTCGAACAAGGACTCGCTCATCCGCCGGCCAGTTGATGTACACCGGAATGCAAACATTGTAGCTGCCATATAGCCACTGAGATTCATCGGCAACTTGGCAACGGTCGACTGTGAGGTGGAAGCGGACAATTGCCTCGATGTCGGACTTGCGCGAAACAAGATACGACCAAAACTCTTCTTGTTTCTTGGGGTAGTTTAGACGATGAAGCACATTGTATTGGTCAATTAGAGCTTCTTCAAAAGAGACGCGGCCGCTTTTGAGAAGTGGAAGGGTGTTTGATGGGGAAGAAATTGACATTTCCTCTTTAATCCCGAGAGGTTAGTTTGCTGAAGCTGGCTCTTGGGCCTTGGTTCGACTCTCATAGCAACAGGCTTCTCTGTTTGGAGTACGTTGATTGATATTCGAGTTGGGCCAAACTTGTCCAGGGGCTCGGATGGCGGAGAAATGTTGTTGCGAGAGCCGTTCGAGCATCAACCTCTATCGGGCTATGATCTCAACATCCGGATCAATTTGACAAAATTGGGAAATTCAACTAAGACAACCATGAAGTGGGCGGCCTGTTCCTCAAGCGATGACGGTCAAAAGAACAAATCATCAATTAACTGGATGTCATGACACCATCCACATAGTTAGTTAACTAATTAATCCACCCAATTTTCCATATATCACAGAACCAAACAAAGTCCACAATCTCAACACATGTCCCTTGAGCTTCAACTCCATGAACACACATACGTCTAACAATCCCAAGGCGCCTGATCCTATTTCTCGGTGAATTTTAATATTGCTTTCGCGGTTGCTCCAACAAAATGCCTATCCGCCGCTAAAAAATGCAATCATGGCAGGGACGACAAAGAAAACGAAGAGATAGGGGCATCATCATCAGAAAATCAGTTAGTACAGATATGAAAAACGAGACAAAGGCAAATAATGCGGTAAAGGGCAATATTCATACATACACGAAGGGAAAAATTGAAAGATTTTGGGGTATACAGTGAATGCTAAACGCAGCTCAAATGGGAAGAAAGGGTGCAGGAAGACATTTATCATTACGAATTGGGTGAATAAGAGGGTCAATCTTGGAAAGTGGACTGCAACTATTTGCATCCGTGAACGAACTTGTTCTTTGGCCAGTCGTAATCCGTGTCGGCCCTAATCGAAGAAATCAACATATAATCTTTCCAGGCCTTGAAACGTTAACTTACCAATTTGTCAGATTAGGATTCTGATACACCTCCTTGTGCTTTTTAATATACCCTGTTGTCTCCATTCCCGGCGGATCACACGTTACGCTTTTCTTCTCTGGATCCTGATAAATCCTCACATAGTCGAACCTCATGGTTGCCGGGAGCAATGATGCTAAGCCTGTCATGTTCAATGGGGCAAAGCTCTGGGACATACCCAAGTTCATGATGAGCGCCATGGGCTCCACGGGGATGACTCGCTGCCCAATATTCCCATTCGGCCCAATTGCACGACCGTCGAGTTTCCAGGTCTTGTCCTTGCCAACGTACCATGTTATGTCTCCTTTTGCTCCGGGTGCGTATTCAAATGCATAAACTTGATAGGCTTTGCCATCATACCAATCATTGTTGAGATTGGTGATTCCGGAGACTGCTTGCTGGAAGACACCGCCACGATATGCGTTCATGTGTGTGACCTTGGGATCATATAGCTCCATAAACTCTACTACGTTGTTAGGTCAATTTGACAAAGGAAGATTGGACAACTAACCGTAATTTGGCATATACCAGACGTCGAAAGGTGCAATTTGGGCACTTTGCGACACATCACCAACTGTTGATGGGACCGCTTCATCCAAGGGATGCACGCTGGCCTCAATAACATCAATTTCAGGGGCGCTACGGGATTTTCCAGGCGTTGGATGATCCTCTCCATCGCAGGTACAAGCTGGAAGTTTCATTCCGGGGAGAAAACTGATACCGTCTGTAGAACTCTGGTTTGCAGTGATTCCAGCATCGCATTTGTCATGGTAGGTGTATGGCCACATCCCTTCAGTGGTTGCAGCGTATCCTGGGCGTCCAAGATTGCCCATAGACCAGAACCCCGGCCAAAGACCAGAAGTATCACCACGACCAGGCAGGGATATGCTTGCCTCCAAGCGCCCTCCGGTAAAGCATAACTGATTCCACGATTGGACCATCCCAGACCGGTAATTTAGGCCATGATTTTGAAAAGCATCGAAACGTAATTCCAAATTTCCATTTTTTGTCGTAACAGCATCGGGGTCGTACCACTGAGCGAATTGTTAACCCATACTCAGACAGAGAGGATTAAAAAAATTCATACCTCCAAATCCTGCGTAACACCATACCAAATGTCAACTGCTTGGAAAAACGGATCGTCACCTTGGAAAAATGTCCGTCCGTCTCGATTAAACTCGTCCGAAAACTAGTTGCAGATTGATCAGCACGAGCTTCTTGCCAAATTCGGAACACAGCATACCACCAATTCCCATTTTTTCCCGTCTGCTGACTTGATGGATCTTGCGGAAGTTGGGGTATCGGGGTCGATTAATGAAGTTCGAATGTTCTTCAGTAGCGGAACCTTTCCAACGTCAAGGCACATCGGATTACCCTCACAGCCTTGTGGGCTAGTTGGCTCAAACAACTTTCTCGCAAAAGTCCTATTCGGCGGTTGATGTTAGTTGACGATACTATAAAAGGAAGTAACTTTTTTCTGAGTCCATACATGACTGGGTAACCAATAAAAAGAACCAAAAGTCCCAAAATTAAAACGGCCAAGGCGCCAACGTTCAGCATCCCTCTCTTTGAGCAGAGAGCGCAACCTCGCTTTTTATCCTCTGAGTCTGGATTATGCATTTCGTCATCTTTTTCTACGTCGTGTGGAAATACGATCAGGTCCTTGTCTGGAAAGATGGCGAATTTCTCGGCGACTGTTTGAGTATTGATAGGTTCCTCGTCGCTTCCTGTTCTTGACGGAACTCTAGAATCCCCAAACGGGTATTCAAGGTAGTGTCGACTGGAACGGCTACCGGCGTCGGAGCTCCAGCTAGTTCTGCGTGACGAATCATCTCCGGCATTTCGACTGCTTTCGAGATACGCTCGCGGGCGTGGAATGGTTAAATGTTCCGTGGACGATGGATTACTCCGGCCAACGGGAGAATATGGTGGTTCGGGAGGTGCGATCAGCGGACGAGATGCGGAAAGGGACTCAGAAGTACCGTTTGTCTGGTCCCCGAAAGGATTCTCATAGCCGGAGTTAAGACGCAGGTGAGGAATGTTTCTCGAGCGACCGCTGCCCGGATCCATTGTGACGGTGAAATATTGATATATGCTAAATTTACCCTGGAAGTAACCAAGGAGGGAATGTAATCAGGTCACACTATCCAGGGAATAGATGCTCGAGATCCGTTGTAAATCGAAGATCAGAGCTCCAAGGTTAGAATAAGAGGGCGTTTAGAGATAGCACAGCTAAAGCCTTGACATTCGGCATTTGCAACGGGGTCGCAATCAAATTGTAGCAGCAGCATCCAGGTATAGGGGAGTGACGATATCAAAGCACAGCGAATGGACGTCTGGCAAGTACAGAATTTCGAACACGTAACGAGCGACTGAACGAAAGGCAAGGAAGAATGGCTCAGCGAAAGTAGACTGCCAATGAAAGTCAGCGTCAACTGGAGGTTCGAATGGCACGCTGACAGCTTTGAACAGCAGCCGCCTGAAAGTTGAGATGATTACTCACAGAAAAAGACGTCGATCTGAAAGGACAGACGAGACGGGAGAAATATCAGTATCACACAGCAAAGCAGCCCTAGTTGGGAGGTATCTCAATTGGCAGAACCAAGGCCTAGAGAGCGATTTCGTCAGCTGTGGGCCAGAGTCGAAGATCCAACGGTTGACGGCGTGGCTTGAACTGAAATAGCAGTGGAACCGGTGGACCTGTTGAGGGACGGGAAGTATACCTACAAGTGCCCTCTTTCGCGCGCGGCCGCGGACAAGAGGGTATGCTCACAGCGCAGGAACAGGAGAAGATAAGATGAGAGGAGGTTCCGGATGTAGGGGACAGGAGAGGTTCAGTTAAGCTTATTGCAACGTCGCGTGAGTGTGATGTCGTCGCGCAACGGGGCACAGGACAGATGCGGATGTTGGTGTGCTTCTAGAAGCCGGGGCAAAAAGAAAACAAAGAAACAAGCTATGGAATGTTGTGTGCAGCTTCCGGGCCCTGCTCAAGACATGGAGAGCTCACAAGAGCACACTGAAGGGTGACTTTTGTTTTGTTTTAGCTAGACGTGTCAAAGAGTTGCCAGGAGAGGTCAGTGAAATTTGCGTGAGGAGGGATTTGTGGGCGTCCCTGGGCGGAGTGACACAGCTTGACATCACTCCAGCGCTTGTGACAAAGGTACTGGGAAAGTTATCAGGGACAGTGAGACTCTCACTTGTTACCAACAAATGACTTGTGAGACCTTTGTCAGTTGGGTTGGCTTAGGTAGTCCAGGCCAGGTCCATTCCAGGAGCACTCTGAGCACTGGGCACATTGTTCTCGGTAGTGTGTTTGTTTCAGGGCTTCCTGCCCTGCTATCCAGCAGAGGATGAGATCCCCCTGCTCGCTGTCTCAAGTCAGTGATGAAGCCCATGATTGCACCATGTGTCTGTACCCGGTGCTCTGCGGTCTGTCGTACCAAACGGCCTCCAGATGGAGAACCAGGTTTCAAGGAACAAAGAGCCTTGGCGGCGTCGAAAAAGTCTGATCCGCCAATCACATTGCGTCCTTGCAGACGATTTTCCGATCTGCGTGCTCTCATTGGCCAGCGGTGCCGCCCTCACTTTTCCTTTTTCTGCGCTTACGTGTCGCGGATGATGTCAGCACGGGCGCGAGGGTGTTTCCTGGCACTCCGTAGGTAGTCCAGCGGAGGGAATATCGCTCTGAAAGTGAATGGCCATGCGCTTCTCTCTTCCCCGTTAATCCTCTCTTCTCATCTGCAGGTGAGTCGGCTGGAATTCTCCTTCTCGCGGATACGAAGCCTTGAATGCTTCTCTGCTTGCATTCGGTGCTGATTGGCCCACTGTCATTTAAGGCCGCGAATCACCCTCGCGGAATGATCGACGCGCATTAATGGCCCGGCTTGGCGCCAGGGGGTTTTTGGCTTCCCCTTTTTTCGGTTAAGACGAGGACAATATCACCTCGAGATCTGTGGTTTTTTGTGCATTCAATACTCTGTACACCTCCATAACTACAGTCTGGATGTATGCAGGAAAGCTGTTCATTGAAAAGGCTCTCACGGCAGCTTGCGCTTGCGATTCATCGCTCTCCTCGTCTTCTAGACCAGCTATCACAGCCGGCGACGTCGTGGACCGTTGGCAGGGACCATGGAAGTTCGAAACCAACCTGCCTTATACACTACCAGTTCTTACATGTACTGCAGACCCGGTCGAAACAGGATTATTCCATCTGCAACGGTTCATGGAACCAAGCTGAGTTCAAGTCGTCCCAGAACAGCAGAGCCGCATTTAATGCCCGTCCAGCCCACAACTATTTTCAGAATCGCGATATTAGAGGCAAACAATGCGGGACAGCCACATTGAGCTATTTGCCGAATGTCAAAAGGCCTTCCTTCTTATGGCGTGTTACAGCCGATAGAGCGTGCCCTAAACCCATGCAGAAAAATACACGCACTGAAGAGAGAGCTCAAAAATGGGGTTTCCCGTCCCCCCATTATCTGGCCATACGCCAGGTCTTGTTCTTTCCGGGAGAGCTAACCTAGCTAGGCTGCTAGGGAGCGATACCACCACTCTAAGATGCTTTTGCAATATTTTTTCATTCTTAACTTACCTCCTCAAGTTTCTCAATTTGCGAAAACACAACTTCACATACGGGGCACCTTGCGCAGAATGATGTTTTCTTGGAGCTTTCACACCCTCGACCAATGAACGCTCCTGATTTTCCGATGTGCAGAAGATGGCTAGGCAGCAGCCCTGCATGAATAATTACTTTTTCCACTCGACGTTGCTTTGGAATGAAGCAAATAATCTCAATTCCTTTCTTATACAGAGTATATTGCTCAATATTGCACATTTTTTGCCTGAGTTAGTTGCTGCCCAGGACTTTCCACTGCCAGCCTCTTTGGCCTCGCGTCCTCAACAGGCCAAGGAAAAACATGCCAGACCCGGCCTATATAGCCGATCCCGCTCCACCTCCAATTTATACCAGGGCCCGCCCCTTTACTGTTCGCTCTCACATCCCACCACCGATAGGCAGCCCGCTAGAGCCCTGCACACCGTGGGATGATCCCCGGAAGGAACGTGAGACGATTTCACCACTTCAACGGTGCCTTTTACACCCACCATCTGGCGGGTTGGACGGAGACCATACTGTCGAATTCAAAGTGGTCCATCACCTGAGAGCTGGAAGAGATCACAATTCGCAGGTCGTTGTTGTCAGCATTCTCAATGTTAGTGATAACTGCCCAGAAGTGCTCGTGGGAGTCACTACAGCCGTGGCCAAGTTTTATGACCCTCTTCATGCTGACCCTGACGACTGGGGTTTCGATCCTTTCTTCTACTCTCATCAGTGTTATATTTCAGAGGCGGCTGCCTACTCCAAACTCTCCGACCTCCAGGGTACTGTGATTCCAACTTACTACGGCTCTTATACGCTTCAGCTCCCTGTTCATGAGCCCACCTCCCCCACAACAACCCGAACCGTTCGCCTCATCCTCATTGAAGATATTGTCGGAACGTCAATGCGGGATCTTTGGCCGCGGGAGTATTCACAAGCCGAACGGAAGCAAATCATAAGAGCGATCATCGATGGAGAATCGGAAATCTATAGACACAATATCCGCCTTCGAGATATGCACCCAAGGAACGTGGTTGTAGTGACAGACCACCGGGCGGAGCAGAGGGTTCGCCGTGTCGTGCTCATAGACTTTGAGCGAAGCTGGTTCTCTCGCGCCCATTTTCCTAAAGATGAACACAAGTACCTACCGGGAACGTACATATCTCCGCTGCTACGCTGGCATCATTTCGTCCGGTCAAGCGTTTTCGATGACTGGATTGATTGGGACCGTCAACTATGGCTCGAGAGTGAATATGCCGACACTGCATCATCGATAACGCGACACATGGAATCGATATGGGGCAAACGACTCGAGGAAACGGAGGATTAAAAAGGAAGCAAGTGGTGGTTTGATGCAGCCGAATTTGAAGGAGTGCTAGGCCCCATGATAATTAACAGGCAAGAAAGGCAAAGGGGAATCAAGGTTTGGATCGGAGTGATTGAGTTCTAGGAGAGGTGTTGTGGATAATCGGATGATTGATGTGAATGACCACTATAACTCAAAAGCTTCTGGAGTACAAGCATAGCTCAAAATGGAAATAGGAACATCTGAAATCTGTTTACCTGTCGCACTTGGCATCTTAGTGCTCAGATCATGAAATGCGGCCTCCACAACCACCCCCTTATTCAGTGTGTTGCGAGTAATTGCACCTTTGGAGGAATGCTGAGTGAATAGCTTTTGCTTACAATCTTCCTATCCTAGACGCCCAAAGCATTGTCACTAGAACCACAAATGAAAATCTCCCATTTTTGCCGGTATACCCCGTAAAGGTGCAAGGTCAAAGGAGTCCATCCTGCGAACTTGAAACTCGACTTCCAAATTAAATATTATGTTCCTTAATGTTCAAGATTCAACAGACCAGATTTCCGGATGTCGATTTAACGACGACGAAATCAGAACCTAGATCAAGATCTAAAAGCAACTAGAAAGCCAATTGACATCAGCCTTTTTCAAATATCACCTCACTTGACTTATCGCCGGCCTCGATGTTGGCAAACTAGTCGATATTCCCATGATATTGTCGCATACTGAGAACATACAACACTTGGGACCGAAAGGACCCTACGCAAGCTCATGACGTGCTTTGGGTCTTTCCTTGCAGCATCTTGCGGGTCAATGAGACTGCATGCAGCAATTGGGCGTAGGCCTAGCATGAGAACGTCGCTGACTTGTATCCTTTAGGTTTTAAGTCATTTTCCACACGCTGCCATCCTATGCTGACAATAACCTCGGATTCGTGAAGTTTCCCCCTTTTCGAGATGCTAGCGTCAAACCGTCAACGGTATCGGAGCGGACAGTGCATGCGAAGGCGGGACTCGTTGAAAGAACGGGTAAAGAAAGTCGATACAAGAGGCTTGAAAACAGGAATAGAGAATGGCACCGAGCAGTGGTTATACAACCCATCGTTCTACCCCACCTCCATCCAATGGTTGTTCTTTCAAGGCACGGGCCGTGCATGTAAGAAGGTCCCATAAACATGGCGATTGATACAAAAGAAGAACTATTGTCCCTTGAGAAATGATATTTAGGCTCCAGACAAGCATTAACAAGCTTATCTAGAGTGCAAGTCTCAAAGCCATCAGAGTAAGGCAGGAACCAGCGTTAGAGGCCATGCTCTGTCGCGCTCCTCTGTGCATTGTATCCGCCCTTCCAGTACCAGACGAGGGAAAGTGCTGCAGATTCGCGATGGGTGGGTCCGGTTTCCTCGCGCCTGGAAATTCCTGAATCAAGACGATTGACTTTGTAACAGCGTTTCCGATAACACAGACGAGTACGTGTACATGTGTATCTGTCAAAGCGCGGGGCAAAAGCCAGCTGCTGCAATGTTCGTGTGAACATTGGTATGCTCAAGCCAAGTGCGGGTATCCCCAAGGAGACCAATGTTCTTCATTCTTGGGCTGTTCCTCCGTAGGCGCGACGTTGTCGGAGTGGCGCCTCCTTATCAGGAGGGGTGAAAGGCGGGTTTCAGATCGCGGATTGCAGATGTGCTTGTTAGTCCAGAAGCATCCAATCCAAACAAGATTGGCGAGTGTTGCGCATGGCAGCATTTCCGTGGGTTGGCTCCGCAATTTGGCGGATGCTTGGTGCAGAGACTTGGATTCTGAACGTCCGCAGTTTGAAGGCTCGGTGCGATGGGCGAGCTGAAACGAGTGCCAAGCGCCGAGAGGAAGTCCTCACGCCGCTCCGCCTAGTTAGTCGAGTGCACAAGTCCACTCAGATGTCTCAGACCTGCTGTTTGAACGGGCGGCAGCCACGGTCGCGGTTCTATTGGTAGAATTACCCAGAGGGCTCTTTCACACGCCAATAGAACTGCGACTATCGAGAATAATTTCAAAAATCAGGCCCGTATACGCCAATAAGACGAGGACAACTGCCTGGCGCCAAGACACACCATTCCCGCTCCGCCGCTAAGCCTCTTGGCACCTCGCGCGGAAATGCGGACTCCATCTCCTCCTCAGCCCAATCACACCTGATGCTGGTGCCGATATCCAAGACTGAGTTTGCCTGGTTGTTGATCGCGTTGGCAAACCTGCGACCACTGTGCTCTTTGTTCATACGCTCGTCGAAGTTAAATGGACATTCTGGATATACCCTGTGGACCACCGCCCAAGAGCCTCGCTCGTGCTTGGTCTCCATGATCTGCGTCGGGTCGAATCACGATATTCATGAACGCAGAAGGACTTTGCCCCTCTCTCGCTCAGGGGACTGATCTCGGCCGATGAATCTTCCGTCAGGACTCCGCCGAGTCGGGAAAACCGGGAGCAGTGCTATGCTGCCAAGTGGACTATCTGAGGGCTGGCTCCTCGCTGGTCGGCTGGCAATGGTACCTCCGGTTGGCCCGCGGTATCGAAGAAGGCCAAGCGATGATGAACTCCCGCCCAAGGAGTCGTATTGCGCCAAGTAGATAGTCGATTGGGTTCCCTGGTCTGTTGCACAGTCAACACCGTAAGGGAGGCCCTGACAGCGTCCGTCTGAAGGAGACATATTGCGTATCGCTCTCTATCCTCCGAGGAGGCCCTTATTCCCTCCCAAAGTCTTGAGAATAGATATTGTCACTCCTTTGGCCACGACGATTTTCGGCTTTGTCTATCATTTTATATTTCGTTTTTTTCCTCCACTTTGTTTTTCCCGCCTATGTTTAATCCTCACTCTCTCTGGTAGAGATCCGTTGATCTTTCTCAACAAATCAACCCAAACTCAGGTGCTGCAGGCAGTATCCGGGTCGCTGTTCTCCTTCCGACACCATGCCTACCCTCGATGTCAGCGAGCTGAATATTGTGCTCTCAGTCCTAGGTTTGCGGGACATCCTTTGCTCACTCTCAGATGTGCTTCCTTGTTAATCATCTAACAGGGGCATTCATTCTTCTTTACGGATTCATCTCGTATAAAATCAAAAATGTCTGGTATCTTGGAGAAGCATGTAGGTAACAGATACGAAGCTATTCTAGTTGCCTACTGACGCCCATTCTCTAGTGCCTGCTGTTATTGTTGGGATAGCCTTGGGGCCCATTGCATCGAAATTCATTGATGCTGAACGATGGGGTGTTGCGGCTCCTGAACAGCAAAATGCCATAACACTCGTATGAGCGAGACTTCGTTACCGGCTCAGGGAATGCAGGCTAAAAGCTTTTAGGGGATCACTCGTGTTGTGATTGGGGTGCAATTGGTGATTGCTGGTTTCCAACTTCCTGCAAAATATCAGTTGACGCGTTGGAAAGAAATGCTGCTTTGCTTGATACCCATCATGACAGTCATGTGGTTGTGCACAACGGGCTGCATTCTCTTGACTGTCCCAAAGCTCACATTGGTAGGGAGATAATGTTCTTTGCCATATAGAATTGTGTTTTGCTCACAACTTGCCAGCTTACTGCCCTTGTCATCGGATCCTGCGTAACCTGCACAGACCCAATCCTTTCCCAGGCCATTGCCAAAGGGCCCTTTGCCGACAAGTTTGTTGCTCGAGATCTTCGTGAAATCATCTCTTCCGAAGCCGGGGCCAATGACGGATTCGGATTCCCGTTCCTCATGCTCGCAACCTACCTTATCCGCTATGCTGATGTACCGGGGGCCGGAAACGCCCAGGGTCTCCATGCAAGGTCAGGAGAGGTTGGCCGCCTCGGTGGAGGGGTTGGCAAGGCTCTTCAAATGTGGTTTGTGGAGACATGGCTTTACATTGTGCTTATGAGCATAGCTTATGGCGCTGTTTGCGGCTTCGCGAGCTGCAGGATTTTGAGGTTTTGTGTTAGAAGGTAAATATACTGCTGCCGAAGTGGATGGGTCGTTATGAAGTGGCTCACAGTGAGTAGGAAATGGATTGACAATGAGAGTTACCTCCTATGGCCTGCGGCGCTAGGTGTAAGTGTCCTCCTTGTTCTGGATTATATTTGCAGAGAATGAGCGAGCCTGACACAAAGCAATAGTTCTTCATTGTGGGTACTTGCGGCGCTCTTGGTACCGATGACCTTCTCGCGTGCTTCGTGGCTGGAAATGCACTCAACTGGGATGGCGGTTACCTCGAAGAATCAGAAGCACGACATGACGAGGTCAATTCGTGTATTGATGTGTTGCTCAATTTTGGCGGGTTCATGTATATCGGCTCCATCCTCCCCTGGAGTGAATTCCACCAACCGGAAATCACTGGCATCACGTATCCACGACTTATTGCTTTGGGCTTTCTTGTCATGGCTTTCCGTCGACTTCCAGCGATCCTCATGGCATACAAACTAATGCCAAAAGTCTGCAAAAACTGGAAAGAAGCTTTGTTCATGGGCTACTACGGACCAATAGGTGAATTACGTCCTGAAGGCATCTAGACAGGTCATACTAATATTCGTCTAGGTATCGGCGCGGTCTTCTATCTTGAACACTCCCGCCATCTTTTCCCTGAGCTGGGCGAAGGCGATGCCGAAGAGACGATTCTCGCAAGAGCCATTGGGCCGAGTAAGTATTCCTTACCTTGATGGATATTGCCTTACCCGTACCCATTATCTAACAAATGCTTAGCTGTCTACTGGCTCGTTCTTTTCTCTATCGTCTTCCACGGTCTTTCAATTCCGATCCACAATCTCATCAACAAAGCCCTTGGAGTTGCGCCAATTGTCGACCCCTCTGGTCCTGCAGAAATCCGCCCGCTATCAGCCAATATGCAATTGCCTAAGAACAGCGCGGTCAATACTAAACGTCAATCCATCATGGCATACAATCGATTCTCGCGGAGCAATTTCCCCAGCAATCCCGGCTGGGAAATTCCGACAACAACTCGAAATGTGGACTACGAAAGCGCATACTCCCAGCCTCGTCGAGCTCCAGCGATCCGTTACGATGACGATGTCAAAGTATAAAGCGAAGAAAACCACACTGCTACGCAAACACATGTTTTGTGCCAATTTCTGCGAGGTTCATACCGTGCTTGTCGATCTGAGGCATGGTGCTTTTCTTTTGGGCCTATCAGGAAACCTTTGACTCCTTTGTGATTATGCAAAAAGCGTTGCATGTGTAATGCAGTTAGGGCCCGCCATCCGCGCGAACTCTGTCAAACACCCGAGGGCTCTGTTACCAGCATTGAGGCTCCCAGGATACTGACCAGTACACCTGGAGTTGGATATTCGTCGTATATTTTGTATTTAGAATTAATATTACGTTTGTCGCAATGCGATATCCACATTCTTTTGATATTGAATTGAAGAACGAGATTCAATTGGAAAAGTTGCCCTTCCACCTGTGCGGAGCAATCGCCTTGGAAAGAAAGCTGTTTTTACTCCGTGGAGTAACATTCTTTGGTGTCATAGATGCATATTCCATACTACAATCCAACAATGTATGCAGGATAATAGGCACAGCCACCACTAGATCTCCACAAAAATGTATTTCGGACATGCAATACAGAGCCCCCAAACCCATACTTTAGTTATATAAAACTAATAAGATGACATTCCCTTCAGCTCTCCACTGCTCGCGCTTTCATCCCCACTAACCGTCTCTCACTCGTGTCCAAGCCCATGACCCAATACTCCGCCCGCGTCTGGTCATGTTGGATCCTATACACCTGTAACTCAACATCTCGCGTTTCCTTGGCTTCTGAGCCCGAAACTGCAGTGCGGATAGCGTGGAAGACGGTTTGGTATTGATTGCGTGGGTCGAAATCAGACAAGGAGAGCGTGGAGATTTCGAGCTCAGGCGCATCGGAGGACGAGAAGATTAGAGATTTGAACTGCTCTGAGACAACGGTTAGCAAGATACGCCGCATCTCTAATAATGGAGGGTTATCCTGGCGGGGAAACTAACCGTTATCCGGCCACCTTCCTTGCCCCGCCGCATCCCAGGCCAACACCACGGGTTCAAAGGTCTCGTCTGCTTCTGAGATATAGTACTGTTCTACATCTTGTAGTACTGTGGGAATCCGTTGGTTTTCATCTACCGTTTTGGTAGCGTGAAATGAGGGAGAGGGTTTCGAGGTCTGTTTGACTTGCGCTGACGGCTCGGCGTTGGCTTGTTCGAGGAAGGAAGCGTAGGCGTCATCGGAGGACATGGTGGATCTAGACTCTGTTTGGGGGAAATAGGTGGATCGGGAATCTGTTTGTATGGGTGCAGTTTTGTTGTTTGTGGGATGGCTGTTGATGTCTTGGAGTGAGCGGGAATCCGAGTAATTGCGATTCGGGGCGCGAGCCAAAGTATGCTGAAACGGGGTAGGTATGCTTTGTATCTGAGGGCCTGGATATAAGCGTAGGATAGTGGTTGAGAGCAACAGATAATGCGGGTGATTGCGAGATGTTGAATTGAAGCTGGAAGTTGAATAAGACGCAGTTTGCAGAGGCCGGCAGATGACGCAATGGCTGAGTTGCGAGGGGACCAGTCGATCGCGAGCTGCCCGTCGAATGAACCGCAGCGGATGAATTGATGCCATGGACCTCGTTCCAAAAGCGATGTGTAGATTTATAACGAATTGAAAAAGATTTTCCTTCAGAAAGATATTTTAATATGGTGGACACCGCCTTGGAAATTGCGGGAGCCGCATCGAATTACCAACTTACGATGGAGTGGGCGACGTTACAGGTCGATGATAGATATATGAAGAATAAAGGCATTAATCATCATACATTTTATTAGGGAACCCGTAGAATTTGAATTTTCTTGTCATCAAGTAGATACAACCGCTGATGAAAAGATACCATGCTCCGCATCAACCCCAGCCAGAAAAAAAGAGACGAACACTTTATGGAGCAGCAGCCAAATCCTTCTTGAGGGTACCCATAAAAGCCCGTTTCTCGGCAGGGGTTTGGTAGGCACCGTGGCCAAATTTGGACGAGGTATCGATCCATTTCAATTCCACCTTCTCCAGAGCCTTGCGGCTGACTTGTGGGTAGAGGGTCTTCCTAAGTGTGAGAACTCTCTTCTTGACACCAGGGCAGGATCCCTTAATAATGAGGAAGTCGTTCTTAACTTCACCGTATCGGACGAATCCACCCATACTATAACGGAATTAGTAAAGAGTTAACAAAAATTTCTTCGGGTGATGACTTACGGTGTGATTTGCTTCTTGCTAACATCAAAATCAGTGGAAGCGTTGCCCTCATCGGAGCCCTTGCCAATGCGGTAGATCTTGTGGTTGACGGATGTACGATGATGGTAACCGTCTTGACCAGCACGAGCAACGGTCCATTGGACGTGGGATGGATGCCAGGCACCGATACAAGCAACCTTTCGGAGACCCTTGTGTGTCTTACGAGGAAGCTTCTTAGTACCCCATCTGCTAGTAACACCCTGGAAACCGTGACCCTTGGTAACGGCAATGACATCGATCATTTCGTCTTGTTCGAAAATGGAATCGATCTCAATTGGCTTCTCGAACAAGCCGTGGGCGAATTCGACCTTGTCCGCGATAGAGCCACCGTTGACTTGGATTTCCATAAGATGGGCCTTCTTCTGCTTAAGAGGAGTCTTGCGGATCTGTGTGTGTGCGAGAAGACGGACGACTGTGCAGTATTTCTTAATGCGCTCGAGTTCGCGGGTAACGGAAGCACCCTTGTTCTCTGAATAGTTTTTCGCATATTTTGTGAACGCCTTCTTCTTGCTCTTATACCAGTTCTTGTAGAACCGTCTCTTGATCTCGTCGCTCAAGTGCTCGGCCCAGACGGTAGTAAGTGATCGAAGACCACGAGGAGTCTCAATGTACCCGACAACGCCGACAGCGATCATCTGCAAAATGCTGTCAGTCACTGCAATTGTACCAGGTTCAGAGCTTAGAGGGGGGAGATTCGTACAGGAGGAGTTTCGACAACGGTAACGGCCTCAACGATCTCCTTCTTGTGCATCTTGGCACCTGGACGCTCAAGATCACGAACGGTGGTGGTCATACCAGCTTTGTAACCCATGGCGGCGGTAAGGTGGACAGGCTTTTTGGGGTCATCCTTTGGGAAGCTGTTCGAAAGCATTCAGCAATCAATTCGTATTCCAACCATTCGCACGTCGCATTGTCAGAAATTCACTAACCTCTTGACCTTGCCACGGTGTCTGGCACTGCGCTTCCGTGGCAGGAAGGCAAGAGAGCCTGGAATTCAACCATCGTTAGCCAATTCCTTCAAATCCCACATATGTAAATTGGTCGGATTGCACGAACCATGCCGCGGCGCTTCGAATTTCCGGTGACTCCTAGATCGGTATGAGAATCAGCCAGCCCAGCGCAGCTCCGTGTGTTTGAAAATACTCACATCTTGAACCTGTTTTGCGTTAGTCGACGGGTGTGGTGAGAGTTCCTGTCGGTTGGAACGAAATTGAGATCGAATCAATATTTTGTGTGGGCCGGAGAGTTGTGTGCGCTTAGCTAAGCGAGCACCGTCTCTTGGGCAAACAGCGCGTGTGTTTGCTTCCAGCACGTGATCCTGCCAAGGCCCGTCTGGTGCCTCAACAACACGCCAGCGGCCAATGTGCACGCTGAAGACGTTGGATCGAGTGGGAGGTGATTCTGGCTCTGAGCTCCTAATATTCTCTTGTCTTATTGCCTATATCTAACGGCTTTGATCTGATATGGAATTCACGAGACAATTGTCAAAAGATGGACGGTGGCCAGCCTGGGCGGCAAGCCCCTATTACGAACACGCGATTGGAACTCCTGTTGTTGATTGCAGGCCATCTTTCACCAAGCCACCTTGCTTGCTTAAGCTTAGGAAACGCAATACTCTCACAGGTCTTCCATCGCACGTGTATTGTCATCGATGCTGCAAACTCCATTTACGCGAAAATCTGGGTCTTCCTGGGCCTATACATCAACCAAGGACTGATTATCCTTGTATGGATTATGATTGCGCGGACTAGCTTTGGAATATCTTCAAGGTACATCACCCTCCCATCTTGTGCCGACTGAAGTTCTCGCAAGTCCAACTAGGTATGAAACGGTACTACCACGGGCCCGAACATGGTATTTCCCTTGTACATTATCATTTCTGGAAGCTTAGATGACCTGCGATGGGGAAGGGCATGAGCAAATGACAACCTTATTGTCTGTGGATGCAAGGACATGCTCACAGCCAACAAGCGCATCCAACAATGGGCACTACTAAGCCCTGCTCGGGGAGATGCCGTGTCCTTGGAACTTACTTGCATCAAAATCTGTTCCCATTTATATCTTGGATCCTCTGAGATCTTCCCCTACCTCGAAACGAGACTCGAGCTTGGCGTATAGGAGTCATGGTTCGGAACGCCTCCGCCATTGGGTGCATGCCGAGACTTGTTACATCTACTTCTAATTTGGGACTTGCAATTTCGGCGATGAAGGGCTGGCAGTGGTGCTAACCAAGTGGCTCGACGTCTGCGCGGGATTGACACCGGCGGACCCAATTTGGCAAGCCCAGTTTTGCCGCCCAAAGGCCCTCGTCGCTCGAATGCTCCTTGGAACGAACTGGAGCTCTTCGCTTGCGTTTTGAGCGCGAACCTGGGCTTTCGCGCGAATCCCTGTTCTTTCTCAACGTGTCGTAATTGAGGGGAAAGCGGTTCATGAAAGTGATGACGAAGCTGGCTGATAGAATTTGGAGGGCATTAACTAGGGGTTTTGGCGTTCCCGCTGTCATTCATCGCCGTTATTTAGCATCAGAATAGATATTAAGAGTAAGACCTGGACAGCTTGAATTCTTTTCTCTTCAAATATCAGATAGTTAATAAATGCCATTTTGCTGTTATACCTTTGTCCATCCATGCGGTTGTGGCTCATGGACCATGCTATGTATAGTACATACTATCTGCCACAAAACTACACCTCTAGTAGTGTCTTTCAAAGCCATGCTATCTCCGGGTTCCAGGCGATATCTATTGTGCACAGACCAAAAAGGTAACTAACATCGCGAGAACCAAGGAATTAACCGTAGGCTGAATCCAAGGAACTGGATTACCCTTAATCCACTCCTTCCACCCCAAATCTAATAAGTTGTACGGAGTAGAGCGACCATACCTAGTGGCAAAAAGTAACCTCAAAGCTGTTGGACGTCATTTTTCCAAAGCCAGGAGGATTGCAATCCGGCACGGTTGCCTGAACCACTCTCACGGTGAAGCAGAAATGTTGCTCTTTTGGGGGCTAGACCATGGTCGTTTTATTTCCGATCGGAATTCAAGCTTGATCTATCATCTTCTTTAAGTTATTCTCATCCTCCATTTCCCTTCATTGAGACTCGGAGTCTCAACAGGTAAAATCGTCTCTATTTGATGGAAGCCATGGATAATGCCGCGCGTGAAAGGTTTCGTTTTGAGATTTTTTTCATTTTTCTTTGTTCAGGTATGCAGGATGCTTGAACAGCAACTGCGATACGAAAGTACAAACAGTAAACAGAGTG